ATTACATTATCATATCTACCACAAAACTATGTATATCTATCATGCAACAATAAAACAAAAATTAAAAGAAAAACAACACCAGACAAACTTCAACATTTTCTTTTCTTCCAGCAATCCAAATCCTCCTCTACTTGATTCTACTATTTCTTTTAGGAGACCATATTTTGAAATTTGAATTTTTTCAAAAAAATTCAAATATGGTCTCTAAATTCTAAAACAAGCAGATCAACTTTTTCTTCTTGTAGTTTTGTCATTGTTTCTTTATATAACTCTTACTATTACCAACCTTATGATTAATTGTTATTTCGAGGTAAACTGTACTTGTGGAGGACAGGGATTTTTGAGATATTTTGAGTCAAGTCACAAGACTATTCTGTAATGATGATTATCTAGTTACAATTAAATTATTCATATTCCACTGTGAAAGGATGCTGTGATTCCTCCATATTTCTGCAGGTTTATTACTGAAGCCAGCTCAATAGTGGTTGCTAATAGAATAAAGTTTTAAATCATAAACTATAATTTCTTCAACTGAATTGACCATCACTATTTCCTAAATATATACTGTGTACCTGTATCATTCCTTTTGCACAGACTATTCTCTTTATATTTCATTTTATGCACATTGAAGAAGTATCTTACAAAGCCCAGCACAAGTACCAAGCCTTCTTGATAGCTTTCCTATCTTACATTCCCTAAAACATTGCTATTTGTATTTTCTTCACTTAATCCTTTGCATTTTCTTCTAGAGACTCTAGGTTCCATGATAGAAAAAGTGCTAGTTGTTCAATTATCCATAGCTAAATTGTGCTTTGCACAAAAATTTGTGCGCAGATCGTGTTGAATTGCTTAACATTATACATTAAACATATAATTTTTGATTAATTTGCCACAGTACATAGTTGTGTGGTTAAAGGAGACAAAAATTATATAGAAGAGGAAATTTTTCCCACCTAAGCTCTAAATCTGAAGGGCAAACTGCCTGAAGCATTGACTGAGGAGCTGGGCTATGATTTTTTTATACGTGGAAAATTTATGATTATTTTCAGGCAAAAAGGGATGAATCATATATGTAGCAACATTCTTTAAAAAACTATATAAAATCTTGCTACTATACTTGTATGTAATAAATCACCATAATAGTAAAAGTTTATTCATAGAAGTGCAAGTTTTTTCAATATCTTGCATAAGAAAATAGAGCCAACATTAAAAGGGATTACCCACATCCTCCAAAACATATCAAAAGCAAAACCAAGAAGCTCTATGCTAAAATGTTTTTCTTAGCCTTTGAAGTAAACAACAACAAAAAAACCATTATGTTTTTGATTATCATGACATCTGAAATTTGCACAGTTTTTGACACATGCCAGAATTCATTCAAGTAGCAAATCTGTATTGGTATCAACCTTTAAAGATGAAAAATTAAATGGTATGGTATGAAAATAATCAATTTAAATGAAATATTTTTGGCAGTTTTCCTGCTTTTGGAATTTGTTCTGCAAGCTCTTCCTAATCATCACTTATCTGCATTTCAAAGAAAGCTGAACACTGATGTTTTGTTCCTTATTTTATTAGTATGAGAACTAAAATCCAGAAGCCATAGAAGAATTGTTTCATAAAACAGAAATATCTGAGCAAAGCATGAGAGTTTTAAACATTTCACTACTTGGAAATTCAGATTACTTATGTCTGTTTATGCAGCTTTCTCACTTGTATTTACTTAAAATATTAACCTCTTAAAAAATTCCCCTTTAAGAATACCATTTATCAGGTGTCAGTGCCGGGCAGGTGGGAGTGGGAAGGAGGGGATGGGTATATACAAGCATAATGAGTGAGATGTGCAGCGTTTGGGGAATGGTCACGCTTGAAGCTCTGACTCAAGGGGGGGTATGGGCAATATACGTAACCTTAACATTTGTACCCCCATAATATGCTGAAATAAATAAATAAAATTCCCCTTTAAAACTTACGTTTCTTATATCTGATATATTCTGGCAATGAATACTTCTAATTATATTATATAGTCAATATTTTTATTTTGCTGCTTTTGCCTTAATGAAGCTTGTTTAACAAAAAGTAGAAATTATGTCCACATAAAAAAGCTAAATATCATCTGTCAGCTTATAACAATATGCTAGAAAATGCTAGAAATTTTTATAATATTGCACTGATCAAAGTTTATACTAGAAAGCAACAGGAACTCTCATACATTGCGGATAGGTGTGTAAATAGGTACAGCTACTTTGGAAAACTGGTAGTATCCACCAAAGCTAAACACACTCATGTCCGCTCTTTGATCCAGCAAGTCTTCTAGAGAAAATCTTGGGCCAAAGTTACACAGTCACAAAAATACATAATGAATAATCCACAAAAAGATGCTCGAAGATGTTCAAAGATGTTCATAACAGTACTAGCCCAAACCTGAAAAATACTCAAATATTTATCAATAGGACAATGGATATATTAATTGTGATGTATTTCTAAAATGCAGTCCTATTTAGTAATGAGAATAAATAAACTATTGCTACATGTGGCAATATGGAGAAATCATATAAATATAATGTTCATAAAAATAAAGCAGTCTCAAATGCGTATTTCTATAAAGTTCAAAATCAAGAAAAACATATTTATTGTATAAGTCAGGAGAGTGATTATCTTTGGGCAAGGTAGTGCCTGGGCAATGGGAGGGTGGAAGGAAAGTGTGGAAGAGTGCTTCTGTGATATTGATACATCTACTTCTCGATCTGTGGTCTCTTCACCTGGGTGTGTTCCCTTTATGAAACTTTATCTGGGTGGAAACTTATTTGTACACATTTTTCTGTATATGTTGTATCAATAAATTTTTTAAAAATTCTTTGAACTTATGAGAAAAAGGTCTATACCAGTAAATTATACAGAAATGCCTGCGGTTTCTGGTTGCTTTTCTTGCCTCCAAATTGCCCTGGAAAGATTCTTTCAAGTTAAAAATGTATATGTGTAGGAATTAATACTAAATACTATTTTGTCTTTATTTTTTTCTTTTGCTTGTTTCCTTTTTGCCCAATACATCAGGAATCGATCTAGAGAATAAAGAATTGTTTCCAAAAGGACATTTATTTTACAAAACTGTTCCAGTAGAGGGAGCTTCCCTTTTTTTTACTACAGGAAATCCTCTTTCAAGGGTCATCACTAAAAGTGAAAATTCTTAATTTTTTTACATATGATTAAAGTGATGAACTACTCTCCTGTAAGACTATTGTAGGTTAGAGAAAAATTTTATTTGATTTATGAAAAAAGACAGAAAAACTTGATGAAGAATATGAGTATGGTATAAACTCTATATGTTGTATGTCTTTTTCAAGGGATTATCTTTTTGGAATATTCATAAAATGCATTTCTAACTAAAATAGTTTCATATTAATGAAGATAAATTCTGAAATAATCACAATTGTCAATTTTAAATATATTTTTCATGAATTGCAATAAAACTAGACAAAAATCAGAGAATGTAGTGATAAAGATTATGTATCTAGGAATATAGTATAAGAATATCATGGTGAATTGCCACTATGCAAATTTGACCTCATTGATCAAAACATTCTAGTTACTGACCTCAAACTTCCTAAATCTAAGTATCTATCAACTAAGCAAATCTTATTTCTTTGGGAAAAAAAAGGATATTTTCATCTAAGATATTAAGAAATAAATTATACTAAAATGATCAAGTTCTATTATAACATGAACTTTATACTCCTTTCCATGAAATTTTCATAAATGTAAAAGCTCCACACACTTTGTTATGATTACCACATATAAACTTTCTGACATTTATAAAGTTTACCCCCTCATATTAAAATATTTCCACTGAAAATAATTTGACTTAAAATAGTTCAACCCTTTTGCAAAAGATCAATTTCAGAAATATAATAATCATCTCAAGTTCTTACTAAATACAGGCATATCAAAATGATATGACTTTCTTTAAGGTGGTTTTTATGAGATAAAGTATTTTTTAAGGTAGCCCAAAGATGAAAAATTGACACAGCAACACAGAAAAGAATATGTACATACTTTCCATAGAAATCACTATACACATAACTTAGTTACTCTGATTATTTGACTTCAATTTTCTTGAAAAGTTTGTAAGCCATAAAAATGGAAATCTTATGGTAATTATATAGTAATGGCAAAATAACATTTATATTGGTGGTTCAAAAATTTGTATGAGCAGTACCCTGCTTTTCTACATTGTTTGATTAAGAACAGGGGTTAAATTATTTGAAACTTTGCCTAGTTTCTTTTATACTCTTAAATTTTAAAAAAAGTCTGCCAGATGTGACTGGAACATGATAAGAAAATGACATGTCCATAGAACAGCTTTATAGTTTAATAGGTTTGTTTTAATATTACTTTCTTCAAAAAGATTATTCTTGATATAGAACACATATAATAATTTATTTATGATTTTTGCCTTCATGTATTGCCTGAATGAGGTCATTAGAAGATAGTACTTGCAAGGCCCTTATTTTGTATTCACTTAACTTATTCTGTGGATATATTAACAATGTTCAGAGTTTCTTGGATCAGTAAATGTTTATGTTCTATATTTCTGCCTTGTAAAAAGTAATGTTTCATTTGTAATTACTAAATGTTTCACAGCTTGCAAAAAGAGAATAAGACCCAGAATGTATAATTCACTTAGAAAAGGGAAACTTTTAAAGCAATTTGAGAAGGAAAACGTAGTCTTTTGAAATAATTTTTTCTAGAGTAATCTCAGCTGCAAATAAAGTAAGATGCCAGTTACTAAAATACACTCAGTAATCAATGAAAATAGAGCAAATTATCTGTCTTTAGAGGTCTCAATAGATAGACTGCTGAATAGTTTTAGATAGAAAACAAAACGATTTAAGGGGTACTTTCAACAAGTCAATACAGAATTGCAAATTTCTCAGTTATATCAATAACAAGTGGCTGCAACAGGCTTAACGAGATCTCCAACTGTTAAAGAAGAATGGACTTACCTGAGTAACAGGGCTGCTTCCCAGAAGTAAAATCCCGAAACTAATGTCCGAAAGTGTCTCACGTGGGCCATGATACGGAGAGATATATTCACGATCTTGAAAATAGTCTTATCCAAGGCATGGGGAACCAGAAAGACAGAAGTGAAATTGTGCGATCTAACCCTGCGTGGTGTTGGTGGAGACCAGTGCCTGGGCGGCTTCAGCACCTTAGACAGCTCCCCGCAGTACGCGGAGACGTTCTAGTCTGAACCTGGAGACGCGATCCCTTCTCTAAGCGTGGAGCGGAGGAGAGACTCACAGGGTTAAAGATGTGTAGGTGATTTATACAGTGAAAGCAGAAAGGGGAGCGAGACGAAGTGTCTGAAGTGCCTAGGTTCTGGGGAACAGTTTGCTAAAGCTCTGGCAGCAAAGGAAGAATGCTCGCCCTTTCGGGACGCAGACTCATGATTGGAGGAACCGCAGCAGCAGCCCACCGCAGGAACGAGGATGCTTCGCCACCTGCGCCGAGCGCCGCCCGCCGGAATCCCGCTCTCCACCTTTAGGTGAAACCTGAGCCCCAGCGCGGCAAGGGGAAGCGGGGGCGGGGCCAGACGCCTGTGTTGCCCGCCAATCACCACCGCACAGCGGGACAGAGTGACAGGCCACTTACGACGGTAGGCGGTGCTTAGCATTTCACCCGTTGAAAAAATACAGTGGGGAGCTGGTGCAGAGCCCCAACGACTGGAAGATTAGGAAGGTGGGGAGAAGAAGCCACTAGGTTGAGAACCGGGAGAGTCAGCGGTTTTGTGGATTAAGTAGCAGGACCTTGAGGGAGGGACCCTCCGGTATTCCCTTGCGGGAAAAGGCACAATTTAGTAACAAAAAGTCTTTTCCGATGTGACACTGTCCCTTAGACCTTACACCGCAATGCAAATGTCAACAGTAAAATAAGACTCTTGCAAAGGTCTGGGGAAGAGAAGAAAATGTGCATGAGCGCCAGTAGAACGGAAGAATCAGCTGCCCCTAGAATCCTCTCTTAAACCTGGCCTGGAAGCCTTGTTGCCTGGTGTAATTTGCGTTTCCTTTAGTAACCGTAGGAGTTCTAAAAAAAATGATGGTGGGAAATCTGAAGAGATGACAATGCTTCCTACCATTTTTTTCTTACCCATTTTACATCTTCACAGTAAGTTTAAGCGAGTAGGACAACTAGGTCACTGGCATTATATGGTACATCTTTTCTTCCATCACCTCAGCCTATCTTTCCCTCCCTTTCTTTTCTCTGAGTTCTGGAGGTTGAAAGTCCAAAATCAAGGTGCCAGTAAGTTTGCTTTTTTCCTGAGGCCTTTCTCCGTGGCATGCAGATGGCCACCGTCTCCTTATGTCTTCATATGGTCATTCCTCCAGGTGTCCACAACTCTTGCATCCCCCTGTCTGTCCTAATCTCTTCTTCTTACAAGGACACCGGTCAGACTGGATTGGGGTTCATGCTAACAGCTTCATTTCAACTTAATTACTCTTTGAAGGCCCTATCTCTGAATACAGTTATGTTCTGATGTGCTGGACGTTAGGGCTTCAGCAGATGAATTTTGTGGGTAATGGGTAGGTCATACGATGATGATCATATCTTGGCCATTGATTAGGGGAATGTACTGCACTATGGAGAACAGTATTGCACACTCACAAGGTATTGTCCTAAAGCCAGGATATTTGCTGAACCTTCAGCAGGCTACTCTGGCATTCTGTTAGGCCAAATACTTATACATAAGACCAATTAGTCTAATAGTTGTGAGCCCATTCTTGTATATTTTGTTTGCAATTGATAATTGTCTGTTCTCTCCTTTTAAAGTAAAATCCTTTAAAAATCATTTTAAGTGGCATATTTTAGAATAATTTTAAAAGTCTATTTAACTGTCTCATACACACATATTTACAAACTATAAAATTATTTCTGTTCATGGAATGAAAAATGGCATGGTTTAAAATGATTCACCATTTCATTTAAGATCTCAAACTAAAACTTATTATTCTTCTCTGTAGTTTCTTTCCCTTTCACTACATTTGGCTGGAATGCAGACTTTGAGTTGTTTTGCTAGAGACTGTCTCACTTGACAAATAGAGTGATTAGACAAACAATAACTAGCTGTTAAGCCTATTTTTTCTGCTTTATTATTTTCTAATTTAAAAATGGCGTATTATATGCTTTACTTTTCACTCAAGTGAAAATGCAAATAAATTACCAAGATGTAGTTTATACATGAAATACTTTTATAGTAGCAATAATACTTTTTATTGCTTTTTAAAAATGCTAATTTTTTTTCTAAGCTGGTAGTATGTCAGTAGATACACATGTAAAATTCTAGAGTTGCTTGTCATATAGTTCTCTTGTTCTTGTGATCTCATCAAGTCATCCTGTGTAGGCATTTGGGCTACAGCCCTTTTATTATTCCGTTTACCTTCAGAATTTTGTGTTGCAATCTTCCTACCTTTATGGTATATGGGGCTATGATTAAATAATCTAAAACTTAATATATTCAGTGGAGTATTGAGAGTAGACACTTTACCCATTGTGCATTGAATTTTGTCCCCTCAAAGGAGATATGTTGGAGTGCTAACCTCTAGTGTCTCAGAATGTGGCCTTATTTGGAGTAAGGGTCTTTATAGAGGCAGTCAAATTAAAATGAGGTCATTATGATGGGCCCTAATCCAATATAACTGGTGACCTTATGAAAAGGAGAAATCTGGATTCAGAGATAGACAAGCATAAATGGAAGGTGATATAAAGAAACACGGGGGGCGGGGAGGGGGGGAGCTGGGCACAGTGGCTCACTCCTGTAATACTAGCACTCTGGGGGGCTGAGGTGGGAGGATCGCTTGAGGTCAGGAGTTCCAGAACAGCCTGAGCAAGAATGAGACTCCATCTCTACAAAAAATAGAAAAATCAGCTGGGCATGGTGGTGTGCACCTATAATTCCAGCTACTTGGGAGGCTCAGGCAGGAGATGATCTTGTGAACCCAGGAGTCTGAGGTTATAGTGAGCTATAATGACACCACTGCACTCTAGCCAGGGTGACAGAGCAAGACTCTGTCTCAAAAAAACAAAACAAAATAAAACATAGGGAGAAGATGGCTATCTACAAGCCAAGGAAAGAGGCCTGGAACAGATATTACCCTCATAGTCCTCAGAAGGAACAAGCTTGCCAACACCTTGCTTTTGGATTTATAGCTCCCAGAACGGTGAGGCAGTACATTTCTGTTGTTTGAGCCACCCAGTTTGTGGTGGTTTGTTACAGCAGCTTTAAAAAACTAATACATTTAGCTCTCTACATCTGTTATCCAAATTTCTGACCATCTATCTCTGTTTTCTAAGTCAAATTGCCTTGGAATCAATAGGAGGATAGACTTGAAGCAGATCTTGATAGAAGAATTGGTAAGAACTCTTTCTTTCTGGGGCTAGAGGAGAGTTTCCAGATTCTTGCAAGAACCTGGCACACAGAAGTTCTTAGATTCATAGGGGGAAATGTGACACTGGTGGAAGTTTCCCGAATGAGTGTGACTTGGGGACTAAGAAGGAGCTGGACTAGGTCCTCCTCCTCTGAGATTGAGAGTTCACCTGGAGACCTGGGAACAGAAAGGCTTTATCCTGCTGCTCAGCGGGGGACAGGCAGCCCTTCTGCCCCTGCACCACTAGCTCTGTCTTGCAGAAACTAGCAGACTGCCTCCACTTGTTTACTCCCACCACCAGATCTAAGGGTGAGTAAAGAAAATAACAAAGCTAGACAGGAGCTCTAACAGCCAGAGAGGAAGATCAGTCAGTACAAACAGATCTCATGCCAGCCAAACAGAATTGCTGTAGGAGACAGAAAGTCACTTGAACAAACAAATAACGAGAACTTTTAAGGAAACTTGATTGCACACCAATCACATGCTTTCTGGAACTAAAGTAACATGATTTTCCAACTACGTATTTCAGTAGGTAAACTGAAGTATGGTTGAACAGTTAAACCATGAGCCCTTTTAGAGGTATAGAAGCTCTAGGGGAAGAAAGCTCTAGGGAAAGAAATTTGTCAAAGCACACAAGTACAAGTTATAATAGAAAAAGAAACAAGTAGCCATTTGGAGAGTAGATATAATAAAAATAATAAACAAAATTAGGAGTTACATAAGAAAAAAAAATGACAGAAGCTTAAGAGATAGTAAGCAGGGCTGGGCGTGGTGGCTCACATCTATAATCCTAGCACTTTGGAAGGCCAAGGTGGGAGGATCGATAGAGGCCAAGAGTTTGAGACCAGCCTGAGCAACATAGTGAGTCCATGTCTCTACAAAAACTAGAAAAATCAGCTGGGTGTGGTAGTGTGCACCTGTAGTCCCAGCTACTCAGAAGGTTGAGGCAGTAGGATGGCTTGAGCCCAGCAATTTGAAGGTGCACTGGGCTATGATGATGCAGCTGCACTCTATCCTGGGCAACAGAGCGAGATCCTGTCTCCAAAAAAAATAAATAAATAAAAACTAAAAATAAAAAAAGGTAGTAAGTAAAAAAATACATATAAAAATATATATCTTGAATTGAAGAAACAACCAAATTATCAGATTAAAGAATCTTACTAAGGTGTAGGCAATTTTGAAGTGAAAATAAACAAAACTAGTCATACCCTGTTGTAATTAATAAGTTCTTAAAAAATTACTATTAATATAAGTTTTCAGACAGAGATTATAATGCAGAAATCTAAAAAACAAAAACAACCAAAAAACTATTAGACAAAAAGAACATAGCAATTTATCACAGGAAAAAAATACTCTATAACCAAGAAGAGTTTATAGCAAGAAGGCAGGTCTCCTTTGATATAAAGAAATCTCCAACATAATCAGTTATTAACAAATTTAAGATATAAAGCATATGACCATTTATGGAATTTGAAAAACAGTGACAAAATTTTTAAATTGCCAGGTAAACCAGGTATGTTTGTAAAAATATTTGAATATAATAAGTTGTCTAATATTCTGATTATACTTATGCATTTTTATAAAATGATATGTGGTGTATATACTGGCAAAGAAAAACAATTTGGAATGTTTCTTGATTATTAAGATTAGGAAACCTTGGTACCCACTGTTTGGGAAATAGTCTTGAAGAACTACTAAACATTTTTAGACCCATTTTTTTATTAGGTATTAACACAGATTGTTTTTCTTAATTTCTTCAAATTAAGAAATGTGGAAGCTAGCCATTCAAATTAGTTTTGCCAGAGCTTTTGTTAGAGCTTATACCTTCGTGTTTATTGATGTCTGAAAGTTTAATACTTACTGTGTTATAATCATAGACAATATTTATGATATGAATCCTATGGCTAAGGTATGCAATATTATATTGTATTTATTTTATGGGTTATTATCACAAATTTTCATTCATAAATATTGACTAAGTCTTATTCTATGTAGTGTTTAACAAAATAAAAAAGAGTTATATTAAAAAATCTTAATTCCTGGGATGTGTCCTTTTCACTTTTGAAGTTAAAAAATATATTACATAGTTTATTATTTTCCCAAAAACATTTGGATTATCCTCAGAATATCTTG